GTTGTGGTAAAGGAACCCTTTCTGTGGGCCATCCTAATTTTACATCAGGCAGAGTCTGAACTGTATTATCTGTTATTAGTGTTTATTTTCCCAGCAGATGGCTCACTTTTTTACCTAACTCCCAGGCCAGTGGTGGGTTTCAAATTTTTTTACTACCAGTTCTGTGGGTGTGGCTTGGTGGGCATGGCATTGCTTGGTGGGTGTGGCAGGAGAAGGATACTGTAAAATCTCCATTCCCTCCCCAATCCAGGGGAAGGTTACTGCAAAATCCCCATTTCTTCCCGATCAGCTGGGACTTGGGAGGCAGAGAATAGATGGGGGCGAGGCCAGTCAGAATTTTTACTACTGGTTCTCTGAACTACTCAAAATTTCCACTACCGGTTCTCCAGAACTGGTTAGAACCTGCTGAAACCCACCTCTGTCCCAGGCATTTTATAGCAGTCTTTGGAATAGATAGTATTTTTTAAATTATGCACTTTTAAGATAGTTGTAATTTCTGGGCAAGAAACTATCTAAGGATCTGTGCTCAGACTGTAAAAGGCAAAGCAAAGAGAAATATGTTTTTAATGCATCCCAATCATCTTCTATTATATCACAAACATGTTACCAGGTGCATCCACAAGTGGGAAGTCAATAAAGCCCAAAGCATTTGAAATGATGCAATGAAGAAGTCCTATTCTGCAGGTCTTCTTGCTTTATAATCAAAGGAATTGTACTGAACAATCTATATAATCCATGTTAGGTTAGGGTAAATTAGCATGAGATTAGCCATACTATTGGTATCATGGCTGTCCATATTTTTATTTAGATTCTGGATTTTAACTTTACTCTAAAGACTTAACATGCCACAATTTAGCAAGTGAATTAAATCCCTTCCATTTTAACTAGTTTCTTAGTTGAAGGAGATAGATAGTGGTATTAAAATAAAATAAAAAACTCTACTGAAATCAAATCCTTGCAGAAGCAGATAAGGCCAGCCACAGACTTTTGATATAAGCTATGATGTTGTCAGATCTAGTATTTATTTATTTAATTTGTATACCGCCATTTGTATATTATGCCATTGCACAGATAGTGGGAATCATATGAACGTGTTAGTCACATCTTGCAGAATATGTAATTTGCAACATTTGCATGGTGACATGATGCACGTGACAAATGTCCTCCTTGCCCCCTTCAGTTGGCAACTGCAGATTCAACCCTGAAGAAAGTACATTTCAGGCTACTGATTAGTGCATTTAATTCTGGTTTGGATTGTGGCTCAGCTCCCAGAAACATAAACAAAATACTGTATGTCAAATTTACCTTCCTTTCTATTTTATTGCCTTGAAGTTTATTTCCATCTTCAACAACTATTATAAAAGCGCGTGAGAGAATTTAAAAGCCAAACTTTAAAAAGGAACTGAAAAGCGGGCATTTTGTTCATTTTCTGTTTGGTTCCTCTGCTTACTTAGATCTAGCCAGTGGTGAAATTCAATTTTTTTTTATTACCGGTTCTGTGGATGTGGCTTGGTGGGTGTGGCTTGGTGGGTGTGGCAGGGGAAGGATACTGTAAAATCTCCATTCCCTCCCCACTCCTGGGGGAAGGATATTGCAAAATCTCCATTGCCACCCCACTCTGGGACTAGCCAGAGGTGGTATTTGCTGGTTCTCCATGTTGGAAGAAACATCCTTCTGGGTTCTGCTCCAAGTGGGGAAACAGACACTGGAAACATGGAGACTGCTTGGAAAGATGGTTTAATGGTGGACAGGATCACATGGCTTGAGTTCCTGAACAGAAAAGGGGAGATACAGAAAATCCTCGGGTTTTTATGCTCTCTCTGGCTCTGCATTTCTTGGGGCCCCAAAAGAGTACCCTGATTGGTTGTCAGACTCCCAGGGGGTGGGGGCCTTGCTGGCTGATGGTCACATGTGCTTCCCAGGTCACATGTGGTGCGTTTCTGCTGCTATTGTGTAGAGGGCTAATCCTATCTTTGACAATTCCTACTATGGCTCTGCCTGAAGGAGGCAGATCTTTGTTATGTAGAATAGACTGGCCCAGGCCTTAATGGCCCATTGACAAAGGGTGGGGGGCAGGAAGGTGGGAGCTGCTTTGTCTGTAAAATATGCTTCTCATATTTCTCATCCAGGGAAATATAATATTCTGCCTTTTTCATATTTCCTAAAATATTTCACTCTTCCAGGAAAGGGGTGGGTGCTAACTTCCTACATCCAAACTACTCAAAATTTCCGCTATTGGTTCTCCAGAACCTGTCAGAACCTGTGGGATTTCACCCCTGGATCTAGCCCTAACTGCAACTCTCTTTCTTTTACTTCCTCTTTCTCTAGTTTGGAAAAGAACCAAAGCAAGCCCTTGCAAACCACTTCTTTCCAGTCCAGTTTGTTCACAGGTTTGTTACTTTGGGAATAAAATTCAGGGAATCCCCATGGCGGTGAAAAAAAGAGGGTTGCGCAACTGGAGAAGTGGTAAAATAGAAATCTGAGGCACCCTTGGTGCTCTCTGAGCTTGTTTTCTTGCAGACGTTTCTTTACCCAAGCTAGGAAATCTGGCCTGTATCCAGTAATTTGAGTCCAAGACATTTGTGAGTATCAAGAAATTGCTTGAATCATGAAATCGGAGAAGGAAAAGTTTTCAGATTTCTTTTCAAAGGAGCTCTTTGGAAAGAAAATTGGAAAACTCATTTGAAATGCAACCAAGTGAGACACATGTTGATTGTTTTCACTTAAGAGCACAAACTAGGCATGAAGGCAAAACAAATTGTCTGAGAAGATATGTGAGATATATCTTATATGTGAGAAGATAAATGCTGATGATCCTGCCTCCTTTTTCTCTTGGTGACTAAGCAGATCTTGGAAGCCTGTAGAGAGGAACTGAGAGCAAGAAATCTGGAGCACAAGACACCCTCAGCTGACAAAGGTTCAACTGAAGACTCCAATGTTGCTGACTTGTTCTTTAGATCTGGCTCCATTGTAAATAGTTAACATTTGTGACATTGCTGCACTCAACGCTAACACAGCAGTTCTGAGAAGTACTTTTGGGTACATGGGCATGTGAATCAGAAAAATAAGTAAAACAACTGACGCATAATTCAACACAACTGTGTGCAAAGCAAAAAATCTTTATGCCCAGTATTACAGATGGACACAAGCACACATTATTACATTAATCATGCTTTTCGGTATGGACAAATATAAAGCAGTCAGATATGATTGATAAGAAAAGCAATAAGCATGTTTTGTTTTATTCTCTCAATGGATGGCAAGAAAAAGACTAGCCCAATGTACGGTAAAGATAATAGAATGGGGGCATGTGTACACATCCACTTTCCCATGCAGTGTGAAGTCTAGGAGCAGTATACAGGATTTAATATATTATATGATTGATTAATTTTTGAGATTAGATTCTGTTTTAGCACCATTATTTTCCATATCAAATGAGTGATCAGCTCAATGTCAGCCAGTGATTTTTTTTTCTGGTTGAGAATGGATTTGAGTCCCAGACTGCTTGAGCCTGCTTGGATCTACACCATAGCAACAAATAAACTCTTAATATTGGGAAGGAAGAGCAACCCAAAGAAACCCAAATCCATGTTAAAATATCCAGCTTTTATTTTATGTATCTCAAATCCCAATAACTACCTGCCTAAAGTCTGTTCAGATTTCAGGCTTGTCCTCTTTCTTTTTACTTCCTTTCTCAAGACCCTAATCCCTGACCCTGATGCTAATGACGCATGATTTGACTTTTAAAAATCTGATCCCAGGAATTTGATCTGAAAAGGAGAACTGGACCGAGACAAGGGCCTTGTTGGTAAATATGATATTTTATTGTAAAGCATTTTGAAATTTGAAAGCTGTTCATCTATTGCCCATCTCTCTTCTAGTTTTCTTCCTTCAAATTGATGGGTTAGGAGGCTGCTAAGATATTCCAGATCTTTATGCTGTTCTACAGTATTAAAGTCTGACTCCATCACTGACTATTGGGGGCGAGTCTTTGGCCCCCTCGGAGAGGGCGCGCAATCTGGGAGTCCTCCTGGATACGCAGCTGTCCTTGGAGGAACATCTGATGGCTGTAACCAGGGGAACCTTTTGTCAGGTTCACCTGATTCGCCAGTTGCGACCCTTTCTTGATCGGGATTCCATGTGCACAGTCACTCATGCCCTCGTCACCTCTCGCCTGGACTACTGCAATGCTCTCTACATGGGGCTCCCCTTGAAGAGCACCCGGAGGCTCCAACTGGTCCAGAATGCGGCCGCGCGGGTAATTACGGGAGCTGCATGGCGCTCCCACATAACACTGCTCCTGCGCGAGCTGCACTGGCTCCCAGTGGTCTTCCGGGTGCACTTCAAGGTGTTGGTTACCACCTTTAAAGCACTCCATGGCATAGGGCCTAGCTATCTTCGAGACTGCCTGCTGCTACCGACAACCTCCCACCGACCTGTGCGCTCCCACAGAGAGGGCCTCCTCGGGGTGCCATCAGCCAAACAATGTAGGCTGGTGACCCCCAGGGGGAGGGCCTTCTCTGTGAGGGCACCTACCCTATGGAACCAGCTGCCCCCAGAGATAAGGAGAATCCAAGACCTTGGTGCCTTCCGCCGTGCCCTTAAAACTTTCTTTTTTCATCAAGCCGGGCTGGCTTAACATATTTTTAAATTTTAAATTTTAATTGGTTTGTCATTTTAAACTGGGGCCAAATTAATATATATTCTTTTAATTGTTCTTAATGTTTGTATTGTATGTTTTTATCTGGCTGTACACCACCCTGAGTCCCTTGGGAGAAGGTGCGGTATATAAATTTGAAATAAAATAAATAAATAAAAAAAATAAATCTTAGTGATAAGATTGTGATAAGATAAAATCCCTGTTAAATGATCGGTTGGGGTCAGTCTTAGTGATACAGCCCATTACCAAATATTAAGGCAGTCAAACGCAACATGGCTCCATCTACAAATCTCACTTTACCATTATATGGATAGATCAAGTTATGCTTGTGATGTGACCCCAACAATTGCAGTTAGGCTGTAGTGCAAACTATTGGAGTTTGCTCAGCAAGCCATGGATTAAAAGAATCCTATTTTAAAATAAGTAATTGTAGCCAATTTATGGCACTAAAATCACTTTAATCCTGCCTCAATTATTTGTTGATCTTGTGTTTCTGTCTGTCTGGCAGACCTTAACACTACAGGAAAGGCAAGAAGTTAATCAAATAATGATAGATCCTTGATTGGCAAATGATATATAGTAGAGTGCATTAAGCAGAGCAGAGGGAGGATACAGGAGGGACAAATCGTTACACTGAACTAAAGTTGTATTTAAGAATTTACTTTGAGCATTATCATTTGCTTTGGGTGTTGATTATGACCTATAAAGCCCATGGGCCAGGTTACCTGCAGAACCATCTTTGCCCTGTCCTGACATTGCCCTGTCCTGTCATGCAGAGAAAGTATGTTGCTGATTCAGAAGAATTCCAACTGGCGAGGTCCAAGAAGAGGACCAGACCTTCCATCGACCCCTCCCTGTGAAACATTCTTCTCCCAGAAGTGAGGTGGGCTTCCACTCTCCTGGCTTTCCAGAAAAATGTAAAAATACAGCCCTGTGGCCCTCCTTGCTTGGGGCTCACATAGGACTATGCAGCCATAGGGCTGGCTAATGGCCTGTAAGTCTTCCGGCTGTGTTTTAATTTACTTTCACATTGATTTTTAATTCATTCTAGCATTTTTTTTACATTTTATATACTGTTTTTTATGTTTTGGTGTTCAGTTCCAAGTGGGTAGAAAGACACTAGAAACATGGAAGCTGTTTGGAAAAAGGTTTCCTTGATGAACAGAACCACATGGGCTTGAGGTCCTGGTGCAGCTGAACACACGGAGTGGAGAGTGAGAGGTATTTATACAATCTCTTGGTTCTTGCCCTTGAGCTTCCTGTTCCTGCGGCAAGGCCATGTATTCTATTGGTTGCTGTCAGACTCCCATGGGGCTATGCAGGGGTCAAAGCTGATTTTGTAGCTTCAAGCTTGATTGAAGTTTGGGCTGATGCAATGAAGGGGCTTTGTTGTGCAGTTTCTATTGTGGCTGAATGGCTTTGCCCTGAAGGATAATCCCATTATCCTGGAGCTGAAGGTCATTTGTTTTGTAGATAGGCTCAATGGGCACCAAATAGCTGCTGGGGGCAGGGAGCTGAAGCTCTGAGTTTCTGTCTTTAGAAACATGTTCCTCCTTTAGGAAAAATATAATATTCTGCCTTTTTAATATTTCCTAAAATATTCTTCTAGGAGGGGTGGGTGCTAACTTTCTACACCATCTGTACACTGCCCGGAATCCCTCTCTGAGGGAGATGGGTGGTTAAAAAAAATGTGATAAATAAATAATATTTATTTATTTATTTATTGGTTCGATATATTCCGCCCTTCTCCGGAGACTCAGGGCGGCTTACAATGCGTTAAGCAATAGCCTTCATACTTTTGTATATACCTGCTTAGTAGGGCTTTCGGGCCCCCCTAAGCGGTGTTCTTTTTTATACAAAGTCAGCTTATTGCCCCCACAATCCGGGTCCTCATTTTACCTACCTCGAAAGGATGGAAGGCTGAGTCAACCTTGAGCCTGGTGAGATTTGAACTTGCAGTAATTGCAGGCAGCTGGTGCTAGTTAACAGCACTTTAGTCTGCTGTGCCACCAAGGCTCTTAAATAGTAATAAATAAATAAATAAATAAAGTTTATTACTTCTAGGTAATATATTTTCATTCTTATAATATTGAAGTTTTATGGATATCTATACACCGGTGAAGAAGGCAACTGGTAGTGAAGAAGCCAGTTTGTATCTTGAAATCATGAATGACTTGGTGCTGCAAATGGTAGCTGAGTACCTCTTGGGGATGTTAAAACTGTACAGGTAGTCCTTGACATATGATCACAACTGAGCCCAAAATTTCTGTTGCTAAGTGAGACAGTTCTTAAGTGAGTTTTGACCCATTTTACGACCTTTCTTGCCACAGTTGTTAAGTGAATCACTACAGTTGTTAGTAATGTGGTTGTTAAGTGAATCTAGCTTCCTCATTGATTTTGCTTGTCAGGTCGCAAAAAAGGATCACATGATTCCGGGACACCACAACCGTCATAAGTACATGCCAGCTGCCAAGCATGCAAATTTTGACCACGTGACCATGGAGATGTTGCAATGGTTGTAAGTGTGAAAAACGGTCATGTCGCCTTTTTCCAGTGATGTTGTGACTTCGAATGATCACTAAACAAATGTAAATTAAATTAAGGACTACATGTATTGTGATATCATTTTCTTTCAGGTTAGTAAGTAGTGACATCTAGTGGTCAGTGTGACAGCTGTGATTCCTTTTCCGTTACCATCATAGTCGTTGCAAACAATCATACAGTGTGCATATGTGCTTGTGTGCAGGGTAGCCTCCAGATTTGTGGATTTCCTCTCCCAGAATTCCCCATCCAGAATTCTGGGAATTGGTCTATGCATCTGCAAGCATTCAGTACAGGAAATGGGTAGATTATTGTCAAGGACACCCATCTTGTCCCTTTAGGTTCCTAATGAAATCTGTAAGCTGATTATATGTGTGCATAAAGATAGATTCATATAGATTCCAAATTGATGAGGCTATAACACTATATAGCAAAGTACATTTCCCATCTGCAGAGCATCTTTGTAGCTGCTGTGAACATGTGAGTATTAGACTCAAGGGCCTAGGCCTGTTTTTTTGCAGAGCTATTCTAAGTTCCCAGACCTCTGACCTAATTCATGTGGCTTTCCTATTGATGTAGCCTTTGGTCATAACCCATTTCCTTCAAGACTCTGTCAGTGGCCAATGGGATGTTGATGGAGGAATCACTAGAACTTTGTCCTGAGACTGCCTGTCGGTGGCCATATCAGTGAACTCATTCATCTCTAGAGGAAATGTGTTGGTTGGAGCCAATGAGAATGCTTTGTGCAGCTTAAGGGTGACCATATAGGAAGAAAAACAGGAAAGTGAAAGAAGATAAGGAAAAGTGCCTGGAAGGGATAGTTTACAATGAAGAGAGACACCAAAATTCCTGTATTTTGCAGAGCAGACATAGTGGTGTTGGAGGAAACAGTTCAAGACAACTCAGAAATGAGACTTATTGGGTCAAGGAAATATTACCCTCCCAACTCCACCTGTATCTATAAACTGAGATTCGGGCCTGGGTAGTTAAATGGAAACCAAATTTAAAAGTTTCTCACAGCACAGATCTAAATGTGCACCCGCACATGCACACACACATATACACACTCAAGCACACATCATGATGCACTGTATGTGGGGCTACTCTTGAAGGCCTCCCAGAAACTCTAACTGGCCTAGAAGAAGCTTCGTGGATGAGAAGCGAAACATCTTCAAAGAAAAACCAGAAAGTCCAGTTGCCTCTTGAAAAAAACACCTTTGGGACAACTATGACCTGGATGACTTAGAACAGGGATCAGCAACCCGCGGCTCCAGAGCCACTTACGGCTCTTTCCACCCTCTCCTGTGGCTCCCTGTTGGCTGATCCCACCACTGGCTGTCCCCTCCCCTCTCCTTGCAGTCATTCCTTATCTGGCCTGAGAAGGTATGCCACCCAGTCACACTGGTTGCTAAATTATTGGCTCCTGGTGTTTTCCTTTCTATAGAAATGGGTCCAAATGGCTCTTTGAGTGTTTAAGGTTGCAGACCCCTGACTTAGAATCTCCATAGACAACTGACCTAGAAGACAACAGCATAATGAGTTATGGGCATGCCTTGATATGTCCATCAAACACCCCTTTCTGGGGGCTACATTGGTTATCAATGGGCTTACATGTGCAGTTCACAGTGCTGATCATCATCTGTAAAATTTAATGGCATAGGTCCTTGAGAGACTATTCTCATGATGGCGAACCTATGGCACGTGTGCCACAGATGGCACGCATAGCCATATTAGTGGGCATGCGAGCTCAGCTCCGGCGTGCATGCATGCGCCGATCACCTAATTTTCATGCCTTCTGGGCCCACCAGAAGTAGGGAAATGGGCCGTTTCTGGCCTCCAGAGGGCTTCCGGGTATGTGTGTGGGGGGAAGGCCATTTTCGCCCTCCCCAGACTCCTAGAAAGGCTCTGGAGCCTGGGGAGAGAGAAAAACGGGCCCACTGGGCCATCACATGCCAGGAGAGGGGTTGCGCACGCATGTGTGGGGGCGGGGCGTATAGAATTATGGGTGTGGGCATGCGCACACGCGACCCCCCCTCGCTCCCCTTGCTCCTGGCACGTGATGGCAAAAAGGTTAGCCATCACTGGACTATCCTGTACAATCTAAGAGAGTTGGCCTGTTCTAGATTCCATTGATTAAACAATGCTACCTGCTGGGATTCAGGGAGTGGGCTTTCTCTATTATGGTGACTGTCCCATAGAATGACACCCTCAAAAATATTTATAAGTTCCCATGTTAACCTTGTTGGATGATTCCTTTAGTCCTGGCTCTTTTCCTGAGCTCTGGACTACAGTGATGGTGAACCTCTTGTGAATTGTGTGGTATATCACATGATAGCTTTCCCACAGAATATTCTTTATGTACTCGTATGTATTGTTTTATTTTTAAAAATTGTATATCATACCCTACCCAGAGTTGTAATGAGTCAGCTGGTTTATAAATGTAATACAATAAAATAAAAGTAAAATATAGAATTGCAACCCTAATAATATACTTGTGGTTGTATTCATGTTATTAATTCAAATTATAGCTGTAATAATTGAGACTGGTGAGCTGTGTGCAGTGTGATTATTAAAATATATATAATTGCAACATTTCCTTTTTATATAAAATGTCTCCTTTATTGAGAAGAGCAACAAAGATGATTAGGGGACTGGAGGCTAAAACATATGAAGAACGGTTGCAGGAATTGGGTATGTCTAGTTTGATGAAGAGAAGGACTAGGGGAGACATGATAGCAGTGTTCCAATATCTCAGGGGCTTCCACAAAGAAGAGGGAGTCAAGCTATTCTCCAAAGCACCTGAAGGTAGGACAAGAAGCAATGGGTGCTAACTAATCAAGGAGAGAAGCAACTTAGAACTAAAGAGAAATTTCCTGACAGTTAGAACAATTAATCAGTAGAACAACTTGCCTCCAGAAGTTGTGAATGCTCCAACACTGGAAGTTTTTAAGAAGAAATTGGACAACCATTTGTCTGCAATGGTATAGGGTTTCCTGCCTAAGTAGTGGGTTGGACTAGAAGACCTCCAAGGTCTCTTCCAAATCTGTTATTTTATTCTATTCAAGAGGGACAAAAAGGCTTTCTTCAAATGATCTCTGATTTAAATGTAAAACACATATATTGGTTTTCTTGGTTCATTGCAGAATGGTTTTTACATTATGTTGTGAGTTTGCCTGAGTAGTTTAGAAACCTGTTAGGTTTTTAAAACAAAACAAAACAAAACAAAACAAAAAAACTAAAACAACACGTCCAATTTAACAAAAGGTTAAGCTCTCCATGCTTAATTTTGTTGCAAGTTTTTGGAAGGCACAGTAAGAAAGATGCTTGAATTAGACCTTGTACTCAGTAATACTATGTTGTAGACAAGGCTACCCACAGACTCATTTGTCCATGTCATCTCCTGAATGACAAAGTGATGCCAAAAGAGGCCGTGGGAGTTTGGCTACCCTTTCCCATTCTTATCTCCACTGGTGTAGCTTTTCACCCATCCTGCTCAACCCAGGGACTGAAGTAGAACCAGTAGGTCAAAACTGACTCTTGTCTTTATGACCCTCCAGGATACTGGCAGGAATCCCAGTTTTCTGACGGCAGAGACCTCCCCTTCCCACTGCCCTCCTGGTCTTCCACCTCCTTTCCCCCTCCCCATCCAGTTCCTTACAATCTGGCATGGATTCAGGGGAGGCTCCACTCTTACTTACCAAAATAGCAATGCTGATAACTGAATGCCCTAGACAGGAACAAGCTGATAAGTTTCCATTCAGAAAATTATTTCTCTACTGGCCTGCTCTTCTATTACCCCATCCCCTCCCATGCATCCCCATGTCAAATTTACGTCTGTGTTCCTTCTTGGCCATGGAGTCAGGCAGGCTGCTGTAACCAGAACAGGGGTGATGGTTGTGAGCAGGGGTGAAATCCAGCAGGTTCTGACAAGTGGAAATTTTGAGTAGTTTGGAGAACCGGCAAATGCCACATCTGGCTGGCTCCAGAGTGGGGTGGGAATGGAGATTTTGCAGTATCCTTCGCCTGCCACGCCCACAGAACTGGTAGGGAAACATTTTAGATTTCACCCCTGGTTCTGAGGTTCAGGGGTCAGGTAACTGGAAATCAAGGCAGAATAGAAGCCTTTCAAATAATTGGTTGAATGTGTTCAAAGCTACTTCGTATCTTAATAATATGCCATAAAATAAACGATATGCATAAAGTTTTATAGTACTCAGTTGCAATAGTTTGCATGGCTTTCCATGGAGTTCTCTATTAAACAAGCATGCAACTTTGTGTTATAAGGTAAGAACAAAAGGACTTGTTTGCATGATAGGGAACCACAAAGAGGATAACCATGTTTTAGCCTAACATTGGGCAAATCCAGTGGTGGGATTCAGCCAGTTCGCACCACTTTGGGAGAACCGGTTGTTAACTTTCTGAACAGTTTGGTGAACTGGTTGTTGGAAGAAATCATTAGGACAGAGAACCGGTTGTTAAATTATTTGAATCCCACCACTGGGCAAATCCCATGTGTCAAGTATTCGGTGAGTTGTGCAAATTGAGACAAAAAAACCATAGTTCATTTAATCCTGGATTAGAAAAACACAGCCATAGATTTGGAAGGGACTTCAAAGATTATAGTTGACAAGATTTACTACTGAATTCCTAAGAGGTGCCCTTTCAAAGGGCACCTCTTAGGAATTCAGTAGTAATTTACGTTACGTAGGTGAGACCACTACCTTCTGAAGCAACCTGTTCAATTGTCAAATAAACTCATGTAATAAGAAAACATGCCAAATGTTCAGTCAAAATAGCTCATTTTGGCATTTGAATTTCTGAAGTAATAGAAGACAAATTTGTTTGATCAGATATGTTGCAACCCATCAGATATCACACTGCATCTTCAGGCTATATATAGCCAATGTTATATCATCATGAGTTCTTTACTCTGAGTATTTGTTAAACAGTGGAGCTCATAATAGGCATATTACTTCTGAATAAAGCAGAATTCCTTCTAGTGTTGACTTTCAGCTATGATGCCGAAGCAACATCTGGCAATGTGGAAGGTGGCAACAATGAAGGGAACATCTGAAATGGGAATTCTACTTTTCCCAAACCAGTCAAAACCCCTCTCCAAATCCATTCTTTTTTATTTTCTCCAGCTGATTTTGAGGCAAAGATATGCTGGTGAGGAAAAGATTTCCTGGGAGGGATTTGTTTTCAAGTACCATGGCCAAAAAACGATTCAACATCTCATTCATTAAACTTTTTATCTCTCCTGAAGATACTTGAGTTCCCTTTTTGAGAATTCTTTGCAGTGGAAATGGACCTGCAGAACTATCAGTATTTCCTTGATGGAGCTCCCCATCTGAGTACTACCCTTGCCTGATCCTGTTTAGCTTCTGAGCTCAGATGAGATTGGTCAGATATTACCATCTGACCAACTGGAACAGGAGTGTCAAACTCGCGTCATTACGGCATTATCACATGATGTATCACGACTTTTCCCCCCTTCGCTAAACCGGGTGTGGGCATGGCCAGTGCATGACGCATCCAGCCAGAGGGCCACGGGTTTGACAGCCCTGAGCTAGAACTACCATATCTGGCCTCAAAAAAGCTAGATGGCCACTAGGTGGTGGTATATAATTTTTTACATGTTATGTTTCTATATAACAGTTACCAAATTTTTGGAAATATGGTAGCCTTAGCTTTCTAATTTTAAAAGTTTTATTGGACTCCATTCAAAAGAAAGAAAGCAAAACAATGAAATGCAAGTTTGTTTGTTTAGTTCTTTAAAGCAGTATAGATTTGAAGTTAAAACAGCAGTTTAAAATGATCTTTAAAAATCAATCAACATAATTCCAAAAATGTTGTTTAAAGTAAATAAGGGGTAAAACCTGGCAAAAGTTTGGTAGATCTGAAAGTTAAACCATGGAGTTTTTGGACTGACATAATGAATGAGTATAACCAAGACTAATTCTTGGAAATTTCTGTGTGGACAGTGGTGGGATTCAAATAATTTAACAACCGGTTCTCTGCTCTAATGACCAGCTGGGTGGGTATGGCCATGGTGGATGTGGCCAGGGGGTGAGATAGGCAGCACTCGACCTCCTGCACCCCCCGGGAGCAAAAATGGGCCACGGGGGGGGGGGGACCGCACCCCCGCACCACATTTTGGGCCTAGGAGGCCTCCCTGCACTTACCTGGGAGCCAAAATGGGGCGTGTGGGTACTCCTAGAAGGGGAGGGGAGAGGAGGGGAGGGGCCAGCCAGCAATTTATTTACCGGTTCACCCGAACTGGCCTGAACCGGCTGAATCCCACCACTGGGTGTGGAGGTTGAAGGACTTTGGACCTCAGGAACAGCAGCTTTTGGCTGTACACTGGTTGAGATTTA